AAATGTGTTGTAAGGTGTTGAATTTGTTGTAAGGTGCTGAATGTGTTGTAAGGTATTGAATTTGTTGTAAGGTATTGAATGTTTTGTAAAGTGCTAAATGTGTTGTAAAGTGCTAAATGTGTTGTAAGGTGTTGAATTTGTTGTAAGGTGTTGAATGTGTTGTAAAGTGCTAAATGTGTTGTAAGGTGTTGAATGTGTTGTAAAGTGCTAAATGTGTTGAATTTGTTGCAAAGTGCTAAATGTGTTGTAAGGTGTTGAATGTGTTGTAAAATGCTAAATGTGTTGTAAGGTGTTGAATTTGTTAAGGTGCTAAATGTGTTGTAAGGTGTTGAATGTGTTGTAAAGTGCTAAATGTGTTGTAAGGTATTGAATTTGTTGTAAGGTGCTAAATGTGTTGTAAGGTGTTGAATGTGTTGTAAAGTGCTAAATGTGTTGTAAGGTGTTGAATTTGTTGTAAAGTGCTAAATGTGTTGTAAGGTGTTGAATTAGTTGTAAGGTGCTGAATGTGTTGTAAGGTGTTGAATTTGTTGTAAAGTGCTAAATGTGTTGTAAGGTGTTGAATTTGTTGTAAGGTGCTAAATGTGTTGTAAGGTGTTGAATGTGTTGTAAAGTGCTAAACCGGTCTCTCTCTCGTCCCTCACTGACATCGTCAAATGTATGAGAACCACGAACTGCCCCTTGGACATTCTCCCCACAAAATTGTTGAAAGAAGTGTTTGTTTCTATAGGGCCTTCCCTCTTGGTTCTAATTAACATTTCTCTCTGTTCAGGGAAAGTCCCTGATGTCTTCAAACATGCTGTAGTCAGACCCCTCCTTAAAAAACCACAGCTTGACTCTTCTGTTTTGTCTAATTTTAGACCTGTGTCGAATTTGTCTTTTATTTCAAAAATCCTTGAGAAAGTTGTTTTTATACAGCTAAACATATTTTTAGAATGCAATTCAATTCTTGAAAAATTTCAATCTGGGTTCAGAACAAGACATAGCACAGAGTCTGCGCTGTTGAGAGTACACAATGATGTGACCCTGTCTGTTGATGCTAAATGCCCTGTTGTTTTAGTGCTTCTTGATCTAACAGCAGCATTTGATACTGTTGATCATTCTGTTCTTTTGTCTCGCCTGGAGCATCATGTTGGCATTTGTGGTGCTGCACTTAGGTGGTTCCAATCATATCTCAGTGATAGAACATTTTCTGTTATGATTGGTGATCTGTCCTCCACTGTTGCCTCCTTGTCGTGCGGAGTGCCCCAGGGTTCTATTTTGGGCCCCATGTTGTTTTCTCTTTATATGTTGCCATTGGGGTCAATTATTGCCCAACATAACTTGGCATTTCATTGTTATGCAGATGATCTGCAAATCTATCTGCCTGTTTCATCAAATAGGAGTGATGCTGTCAAATGTCTAATGGACTGCATATCTGACATAAAACTGTGGTTACAGCAGAATTTCCTCCATTTAAACGAGGACAAAACAGATTTCATTTTGTTTGGTGACTCAAATTTTTCAGACTTTGGTTTGTTGTCTTCTAATTTCAAACCAGTGGTTAGAAACCTCGGGGTTGTCTTTGATAATTCGTTTTGTTTTGACAAACAAATTGACAGCGTGGTCAGGTCAAGTTTTTATCAGCTGCGTGTTTTAACTAAAGTAAAGCCTTTTTTAAACCGCTCAGACCTGGAGCAAACCATCCACGCTTTTATCAGTTCAAGAATTGACTATTGTAATGCCCTTTATTGTGGAGTGTCCCAATCCTGTCTTAATCGTCTTCAATTGGTGCAAAATGCTGCAGCTCGTTTTTTAACAAACACTCCCAGACGTCAGCACATCACCCCAGTCCTTTTTTCTTTACATTGGCTTCCAGTTTCTTTTAGAGTTGATTTTAAAATTCTTCTTTTTGTTTTTAAAGCCCTCAATGGTCCTGCCCCTTCATACCTGTCTGAACTTTTGACTATTCGTGACTCGGGCAGGTCCTTGAGGTCGTCAAATCAGCTCTTGCTGGAAGTGCCTAGGACCAGGTCCAAGCGTTGGGGTGATCGGTCCTTTTCAGTCGCTGGACCCAGACTCTGGAATAAGCTGCCCCCTGAAATGCGCACCATCACTGATCTTGGCCTTTTTAAATCCAGGCTCAAGACACATTTATTCAGACTGGCTTTTAACATTCAGTAGCACGGCAACACTTTTTTATCTTACTGTTTTATTTTTATTTTTGTTTGAATTAATGTTTTTAATGCATTTTATGTGATTTTATTGTAAAGCACTTTGGTCACCTTGAGTGTTGTAAAGGGCTCTATAAATAAAATTTGATTGATTGATTGATTGAAATGTGTTGTAAGGTATTGAATTTGTTGTAAGGTGCTAAATGTGTTGTAAGGTGTTGAATGTGTTGTAAAGTGCTAAATGTGTTGTAAGGTGTTGAATTTGTTGTAAAGTGCTAAATGTGTTGTAAGGTGTTGAATGTGTTGTAAAGTGCTAAATGTGTTGTAAGGTGTTGAATTTGTTGTAAAGTGCTAAATGTGTTGTAAGGTGCTGAATGTGTTGTAAGGTGTTGAATTTGTTGTAAGGTGCTGAATGTGTTGTAAGGTATTGAATTTGTTGTAAGGTATTGAATGTTTTGTAAAGTGCTAAATGTGTTGTAAGGTGTTGAATGTGTTGTAAAGTGCTAAATGTGTTGTAAGGTGTTGAATTTGTTGTAAAGTGCTAAATGTGTTGTAAGGTGTTGAATTTGTTGTAAGGTGCTAAATGTGTTGTAAGGTTTTGAATTTGTTGTAAGGTGCTGAATGTGTTGTAAGGTGTTGAATTTGTTGTAAGGTGCTAAATGTGTTGTAAGGTTTTGAATTTGTTGTAAAGTGCTAAATGTGTTGTAAGGTGTTGAATTTGTTGTAAGGTGCTAAATGTGTTGTAAGGTTTTGAATTTGTTGTAAGGTGCTGAATGTGTTGTAAGGTGTTGAATTTGTTGTAAAGTGCTAAATGTGTTGTAAGGTTTTGAATTTGTTGTAAAGTGCTAAATGTGTTGTAAGGTGTTGAATTTGTTGTAAAGTGCTAAATGTGTTGTAAGGTTTTGAATTTGTTGTAAGGTGCTGAATGTGTTGTAAGGTTTTGAATTTGTTGTAAAGTGCTAAATGTGTTGTAAGGTGTTGAATTTGTTGTAAAGTGCTAAATGTGTTGTAAGGTTTTGAATTTGTTGTAAGGTGCTGAATGTGTTGTAAGGTGTTGAATTTGTTGTAAAGGGCTAAATGTGTTGTAAGGTGTTGAATTTGTTGTAAGGTGCTAAATGTGTTGTAAGGTGTTGAATTTGTTGTAAGGTGCTGAATGTGTTGTAAGGTATTGAATTTGTTGTAAGGTATTGAATGTTTTGTAAAGTGCTAAATGTGTTGTAAAGTGCTAAATGTGTTGTAAGGTGTTAAATGTGTTGTAAAGTGCTAAATGTGTTGTAAGGTGTTAAATGTGTTGTAAGGTGTTGAATTTGTTGTAAAGTGCTAAATGTGTTGTAAGGTGTTGAATTTGTTGTAAAGTGCTAAATGTGTTGTAAGGTGTTCAATTTTTTGTAAAGTGCTTAATGTGTTGTAAGGTGTTAAATGTGTTGTAAGGTGTTGAATTTGTTGTAAAGTGCTAAATGTGTTGTAAGGTGTTGAATTTGTTGTAAGGTGCTAAATGTGTTGTAAGGTGCTGAATGTGTTGTAAGGTGTTGAATTTGTTGTAAGGTGCTGAATGTGTTGTAAGGTATTGAATTTGTTGTAAGGTATTGAATGTTTTGTAAAGTGCTAAATGTGTTGTTGTAAAGTGCTAAATGTGTTGTAAGGTGTTGAATGTGTTGTAAAGTGCTAAATGTGTTGTAAGGTGTTGAATGTGTTGTAAAGTGCTAAATGTGTTGAATTTGTTGCAAAGTGCTAAATGTGTTGTAAGGTGTTGAATTTGTTGTAAAATGCTAAATGTGTTGTAAGGTGTTGAATTTGTTGTAAAGTGCTAAATGGGTTGTAAAGTGTTGAATTTGTTGTAAAGTGCTAAATGTTTTGTAAGATGTTGAATGTGTTGTAAAGTGCTAAATGTGTTGTAAGGTGTTGAATTAGTTGTAAGGTGCTGAATGTGTTGTAAGGTGCTGAATGTGTTGTAAGGTGCTGAATGTGTTGTAAGGTGCTGAATGTGTTGTAAGGTGCTGAATGTGTTTTAAGGTGCTGAATGTGTTTTAAGGTGCTGAATGTGTTGTAAGGTGCTGAATGTGTTGTAAGGTGCTGAATGTGTTGTAAGGTGCTGAATGTGTTGTAAGGTGCTGAATGTGTTGTAAGGTGCTGAATGTGTTGTAAGGTGCTGAATGTGTTGTAAGGTGCTGAATGTGTTGTAAGGTGCTGAATGTGTTGTAAGGTGTTCAATTTTTTGTAAAGTGCTAAATGTGTTGTAAGGTGTTCATTTTTTTGTAAAGTGCTAAATGTGTTGTAAGGTGCTAAATGTGTTGTAAGGTGTTGAATTTGTTGTAAGGTGCTAAATGTGTTGTAAGGTGTTGAATTTGTTGTAAGGTGTTGAATTTGTTGTAAGGTGCTGAATGTGTTGTAAGGTGTTGAATTTGTTGTAAAGTGCTAAATGTGTTGTAAGGTGTTGAATTTGTTGTAAAGTGCTAAATGTGTTGTAAGGTGTTGAATTTGTTGTAAAGTGCTAAATGTGTTGTAAGATGTTGTAATGTATTGTATCTGTGGTGATGAATTGTTAGTTTGGTAATGTGTTGTATGGGGAGTAATCTGTTGTACTGGTCCAATGTAAGTCTATGGGAAAAAGTGCTTGAACTTTTGTTAATATCTGAAAAAGTGCTAAATGTGGAAGTGTGAAAAGTAATAGCAATAATGAGACGGTGAAGCCGGTCGTAACGATGTATAATTTGTTGAATTTGGTGAAAGCGTTGAAGAGTTGAAAAGTGCCAAAATCTGGCGGTGGAAGAAGAAGAAGAAGAAGAACTAGAAATGGTACAATGGCTGAAGCCATTGTGAGTGGCTGCATAGATGTTGGAAGGGTTAGGGATGAAGAAGGAAGAGGAAGGGGAAGAAGAAGGAAGAAGAAAGAAGAGGAAAGAAGAAGAAGGAAGAGGAGGAGAAAGAAGAAGGGGGAAGAAGGGGAAGAAGAGGAAGAAGAGGAAGAAGAGGAAGAAGGGGAAGAAGAGGAAGAAGGGGAAGAAGAGGAAGAAGAGGAAGAAGGGGAAGAAGAGGAAGAAGAGGAAGAAGAGAAAGAAGAGAAAGAAGGGGAAGAAGGGGAAGAAGAGGAAGAAGTGAAGAAGATGAAGTAAGAAGAATGTGTTGTAAGGGGCTGAAAGTGTTGTAAAGTGCTAAATGTGTTGTAAGGTGTTGTAAAGTGCTAAATGTGTTGTAAGGTGTTGTAAAGTGCTGAATGTGTTGTAAAGTGCTAAATGTGTTGTAAAGTGCTAAATGTGTTGTAAAGTGCTGAATGTGTTGTAAAGTGCTGAATGTGTTGTAAAGTGCTGAATGTGTTGTAAAGTGCTGAATGTGTTGCAAAGTGCTTAATGTGTTGTAAAGTGCTAAATGTGTTGTAAAGTGCTGAATGTGTTGTAAAGTGCTAAATGTGTTGTAAAGTGCTAAATGTGTTGTAAGGTATTGAATTTGTTGTAAGGTATTGAATGTTTTGTAAAGTGCTAAATGTGTTGTAAGGTGTTGAATTTGTTGTAAAGTGCTAAATGTGTTGTAAGGTGTTGAATTTGTTGTAAAGTGCTAAATGTGTTGTAAGGTGTTGAATTTGTTGTAAAGTGCTAAATGTGTTGAATTTGTAGTAAGGTGTTGAATTTGTTGTAAAGTGCTAAATGTGTTGAATTTTTGTTAAAGTGCTAAATGTGTTGTAAGATGTTGAATGTGTTGTAAGGTGCTAAATGTGTTGTAAGGTGTTGAATTTGTTGTAAGGTGTTGAATGTGTTGTAAAGTGCTAAATGTGTTGTAAGGTGTTGAATGTGTCGTAAAGTGCTAAATGTGTTGTAAGATGTTGAATGTGTTGTAAGGTGCTAAATGTGTTGTAAGGTGTTGAATTTGTTGTAAGGTGCTAAATGTGTTGAATTTATTGTAAATTGCTAAATGTGTTGTAAGGTGTTGTAAAGTGCTAAATGTGTTGTAAGGTGTTGAATTTGTTGTAAGGTGCTGAATGTGTTGTAAGGTGTTGAATTTGTTGTAAAGTGCTAAATGTGTTGTAAGGTGTTGAATTTGTTTTAAGGTGCTAAATGTGTTGTAAGGTGTTGAATGTGTTGTAACGTACTGAATGTGTTGTAAAGTGCTAAATGTGTTGTAAGGTGTTGAATTTGTTGTAAAGTGCTGAATGTGTTGTAAATTGCTTAATGTGTTGTAAAGTGCTTAATGTGTTGTAAAGTGCTAAATGTGTTGTAAAGTGCTGAATGTGCTGTAAAGTGCTAAATGTGTTGTAAAGTGCTAAATGTGTTGTAAGGTGTTGAATTTGTTGTAAAGTGCTAAATGTGTTGTAAGGTGTTGAATTTGTTGTAAGGTGCTAAATGTGTTGTAAAGTGCTAAATGTGTTGTAAGGTGTTGAATGTGTTGTAAAGTGCTAAATGTGTTGTAAGGTGTTGAATGTGTTGTAAGGTGCTAAATGTGTTGTAAGGTGTTGAATGTGTTGTAAAGTGCTAAATTTGTTGTAAGGTGTTGAATGTGTTGTAAAGTGCTAAATGTGTTGTAAGGTGTTGAATGTGTTGTAAAGTGCTAAATGTGTTGTAAGGTGTTGAATTTGTTGTAAAGTGCTAAATGTGTTGTAAGGTGTTGAATTTGTTGTAAAGTGCTAAATGTGTTGTAAGGTGTTGAATTTGTGTTAAAGTGCTAAATGTGTTGAATTTGTAGTAAGGTGTTGAATTTGTTGTAAAGTGCTAAATGTGTTGAATTTTTGTTAAAGTGCTAAATGTGTTGTAAGATGTTGAATGTGTTGTAAGGTGCTAAATGTGTTGTAAGGTGTTGAATTTGTTGTAAGGTGTTGAATGTGTTGTAAAGTGCTAAATGTGTTGTAAGGTGTTGAATGTGTCGTAAAGTGCTAAATGTGTTGTAAGATGTTGAATGTGTTGTAAGGTGCTAAATGTGTTGTAAGGTGTTGAATTTGTTGTAAGGTGCTAAATGTGTTGAATTTATTGTAAATTGCTAAATGTGGTTGTAAGGTGTTGTAAAGTGCTAAATGTGTTGTAAGGTGTTGAATTTGTTGTAAGGTGCTGAATGTGTTGTAAGGTGTGAAACAGAAACCAGATTTGTTTTCAAAGGTTGTCTTTGAAATTTTTAAAGAACATGATTGTATTTTATATTTACAGATAAACACAGCCGTCTCAAGACAATTACAATTATAAGAACAGAAATTACAGCAACTTTTACTTTTTTAAGAAATTCACAAATGTCAAAGAAATCTTTGAAGTCTAATACAAAAAGAACATGACATAAACATTAAAACTGGTACCATCAGGTCTTTACAGGTCGGAGGCACCACCTGTGCAAAGGGCCTCGAACCCTTCTCTGGTGCAAACCACGACAACGACACGTTTCAGCGAAGCCAAAGATCTGGAATGTTCCAGTTCAACACGAGCTGAAGGATTCTCTGACTGCAAACCAAAGGCAACAGGTTCATAATACTGCAGCACATGTACTGTACAAGGCTAAGACCCAGTCTCACTCTGAAGTCAGCCGCTGCTCCCCCAACATCAGTGACGTTTGACATTAAAAGCACTGTTTTCAATGAGTCTGAAGTGATTCAAACTCAATCAAATGTGTAAAAATAGAGATAATATTGATCATGATTATTCTTGATTTCGTTGCTTCTTTTTGTTCCCAAATGTGATTCCTTTATCTGGTTTCATTCCACGTTTTATTTTCTAAATGCTTGGTTTTTACAAAACCTGGAACTTCCAGGAGTTCTGGTCCTTGTAGTCCAAACAGTCAGTGGCATTGAAGTTGAGTTTCCATGCCGACTGATCCTTGTAGTCCAGACAGTCCACGGCCCCGAAGCCCAGAGAGGCTGCGGTGTAGCCCTGTGAGGAGAGGGACGGGGACTGGCTCAGGCCCCCCATGGAGGAGGTGATGGGGCTGAGGGCCCCCCCGGTGGCCGACAGCTGAGGGTGCATGGGCGAGAGGTAGGAGCTGCAGTCCAGGCCCGTGAAGTATGAGGAGGAGCCGGCGTAGCTCTGGCTGTAGGCGGGGGCCTGGCTGTAGGTCATGGGGTAGGCGCTGGTGCGCTGCATGCAGGGGGTGGTGGAGGCAGACAGAGGGTCTGGCAGAGGAGAGATGGAGGCTGGACTCCAGATGGACACGGTGGCACTGGCTGAGCTGGCACTGGGGGTGATGGCAGTGCCAGGGGGTGGAGGAGGGGGGCTGTAGTTGGTCTGGTTGATCTCAGCGTTGGCCTCTCGGGCTGGAGAAGACTTCTTCTTTGGAGGTCGAGGTTTGGCCTGTCCTGTGCTCTGCTGCTGCTGCTGGCGGCATTTGGCACGACGATTCTTAAACCACACCTGAGACACACGACAAATTCACATAAACAATAACTACATGAGGCATGTCATTCATAGAAAAAAAAAAAATATTATATATATATATACACATATATATATATATATATTGTTTTTTACATTATTCTTGTTTAAAAACATCTCAAAATAAATGGTTTATAAATCACAACATGCTAGATGCCTATTCACATATGCATATGTTTAAATGTTAAGAAGATTTGTTTTTTCGAATTTCTTTTTTCCTTTTTACTCCTTGTTTGAACCTTGAGCCAAAGCAAATTTCTAGTTTGTGACTTCATGTTTCTTACAATGATTTGTTTCTAAAAATAATTCTGACTCTGATTCTGATTAAATGAGGTTACATGTGAACACAAACTATTTACAGATTATTTTAAATCAAAAATACATTTGATAATTACATTTGAAGTAAGTAAGTAAGTAAAGTTTATCTGTATAGCGCCTTTTTAAAATACAGATAAAAATAAAAGTCAGATTTAAAAACGGGCCTCATCCTGAGCTCACGGAGGCCTCGTGTGCTTTAATAGAAAAAGGAAAAACTCTGGATTGATGTCTCATTAAGAGGACATACCTGGACTCTGGACTCGGGCAGGTTGATTTTCAGGGCCACCTCTTCCCTCATGAAGATGTCCGGGTACCGCGTTTTGGAAAACAGCGCCTCGAGGATGTCGAGCTGCGCGCGCGTGAACGTGGTGCGCTCCCGACGTTGTTTACGCGGAGTGTCTGAAGAGAAAACAACCGTATTTAGTCTGAATAATAACCTTTAAATGGTCTTTTCAAATGATATGTATATATTTGACTTTTAGCAAAACATGAAATGAACACAACTTGTGTCATTTGGTTTCTTTTCGTTCTTCTCCACTTTGAGCTGTTTGGGTCTTAAGGTTTTTGATCTACATAATAATTAACTATTACTCTGGCTGTTGTGGCAATGGTTCAAAAACAATCTATATTTTTAAATGCATTCGCGCCGCTGTCTCCTCCTCTGTCTCCTCTGTCTTCTCCTCAGTCTCCTCAGTCTCCTCTGTCTCCTCTGTCTCCTCCTCTGTCTCCTCTTCAGTCTCCTCTGTCTCCTCTTCAGTCTCCTCTGTCTCCTCTTGACTCCTTTCCTTTATTATCCATTCATAAAGGAGCCCAAAGTGTCTGTTGTAAATGGGTTAAACAGCAGCAGCAGATTGCCGCTGGCTTTGAGAGAACAGGCCACACTTACTTTAGTTTTTTTAATCCTTTAGGTCAAACTATTATTTTTCAAACGGTCAAAAAACCATCAGAGACATTGTGCTGAACAAAAACAAAAGAAACTCAGCTTTTTACGCACGCGCTGTTGTGGACTACGCAAATACTTCACAAATAAGCAAAAGAAAAGTCCTGTAAAGAGAGATGTCCCAGAGGAAAGAAGAGTAAAGTACTTACTCGGGTATCCCACAGCGGAGTGCAGCAGATCCATGCCCGGGCCCGACAGCGTTAACCCGTTCACAGAGTAATGAGGTTGTTTAATGTAAGACATCATTCCTCCTGCGGCTTTTAACTCCCTCTCTCTCCGCGGCTCTGGGCTCTCTGGGGCCGGCTCTTGGCACTCGGACCTCTCTCTCTTTCAGTCTCTCTCTCTCTCTCTCTCTCTCTCTCTCTGTAAATGTCTGACACTTGTTGTTTTTTCCTCTGCTCTGACAAATACTGAGAATAGTACAACAAGTGAAACAAAAAAATCTATCAAAATGCCAAAAACCGCTGCAGACTTTTGTTTTAGAAATAGTTCTGTTTTAAAGCTTTACACTAAAAGATTCGTGGATAATGTTGCAAAAAAGTGTCTCAGAAACGAGCTGAAGAGGATGTGAAGAGGAAGAGGATGTGAAGACGATGAAGGTCCTGCAGAGAAGTGAGCAGTGCGCTCTGAGTCTGGCTAATTACAAACTTCTTACTCAAGTGACACCACCTCCTCCCGCTCACTCCACCCCAAACCCCCCCTCCCTCTCTCTCCTCTCTCTCTCTCTCCTCTCTCTCTCCTCTCTCACCTCTCTCTCTCCTCTCACCTCTCTCTCTCTCTCCCCTCTCTCCCCTCTCTCTCAACACTCCATGCAGAAACTGAAACACTGTGTAATAATTATATCTATAAATCTGAGCTATGCCTTAAATATTAAAATGTTCAAAGTCCAATAGTGACCTCCTCCTCTTGCTCCTCCTCCTCCTGCTCTTGCTCCGCTCCTCCTCCTGCTCCTCCACTTGAGTCTTCAATTGCAGAGATACGTCACACTTAAAATACACTTTTAGAAAGAAGAATATTATTATTATCATCATTTATTAATAAATAATAATAATAAACACCAACGCCCTGTACAAGAAGGGCCAAAGTCGCCTCCACCGTCTGAAGAGGCCGAGGTCCTTCTGAGGAGGCTGAGGTTATTCTGAGGAGGCTGAGGTCCCTCTAAGGAGGCTGAGGTCCTTCTGAGGAGGCTGAAGTCCTTCTGAGGAGGCTGAGGTCCTTCTGAGGAGACTGAGGTCCTTCTGAGAAGAGACTGAGGCCCTTCTGAGGAGGCTGAGGTCCTTCTGAGGAGACTGAGGTCCTTCTGAGGAGGCTGAGGTCCTTCTGAGGAGGTAGAGGTCCTTCTAAGGAGGCTGAGGTCCTTCTGGGGAGGCTGAGGTCCTTCTGAGGAGGCTGAAGTCCTTCTGAAGAGGTAGAGGTCCTTCTAAGGAGGCTGAGGTCCTTCTGGGGAGGCTGAGGTCCTTCTGGGGAGGCTGAGGTCCTTCTGGGGAGGTTGAGGTCCTTCTGGGGAGGCTGAAGTCCTTCTGAGGTGGCTGAGGTCCTTCTGAGGAGGCTGAGGTCCTTCTGAGGAGACTGAGGTCCTTCTGAGGAGGCTGAGATCCTTCTGAGGAGGCTGAGGTCCTTCTGAGGAGGTAGAGGTCCTTCTGAGGAGGTAGAGGTCCTTCTGAGGAGGCTGAGATCCTTCTGAGGAGGCTGAGGTCCTTCTGAAGAGGCTGAGGTCCTTCTGAGGAGACTGAGGTCCTTCTAAGGAGGCTGAGGTCCTACTATGACTCTGTGGAGGAGGTGAGGAGCCAAAGTCACCTCCTTCATGGACAACACATGTCCTGCACAGGACTGAGGAGGAGCTGAGGAATTCCTTCAGTGGAAGAAGGAGCAGGGCCTTTATCCCCACTGCTGTCAGACTGTACAATGAGTCACTAATGCAGGAGGACTGAAGAACTTGCTGCTATTGGCTCTTTTTATTGTACATAATTATACCCTGATATTTAGTTTTAACATGTTTCTGTCTCTGCACAAAGTGATTCTATCTGTGATGTCACATGTTTACTCTGTGATGTCACATGTTTCTCCATCAGAGATCAATAAACTCTATCTTATCTTATCGTACAGTAAATAAATGTCTATGTACATTTATTTACTAAACTTAGTTTAGGTTAAATGCAAAAATATTATACTTTTTTGTTTAGCCTCATTCATAATATTGATGATATTGAGGAGGGTCTGTTGGACAGTTAGTGTCCAACTAGGACTGTGGGGATGATCCAGGACACTTTGACATTCTTACAACATGTATGACATTTATCAACATGTATGACATTTATCAGCATGTGTGACATTTATCAACATATGTGACATTTATCAACATGTGTGATATTTATCAACATGTTTGACATTTATCAACATGTATGTCATTTAGTATGTTCAGCCTGGAGCTGAACGCCCAGAAGACAGTGGAGATGATTGTGGACTTCAGGAAGAGCACCGTCCCCCCGCCCCCACCCTCCGTGATGGACTCCCCCATCACCTCTGTGGAGTCCTATCGTTTCCTGGGCACCACCATCACCCAGGACCTCAAGTGGGAGCCGACCATCAGCTCCCTCATCAAGAAGGCCCAGCAGAGGATGTACTTCCTGCGGCAGCTCAGGAAAGCCAAGCTGCCTGCACAGATGTTGGTGCAGTTCTACACGGCCATCATCGAGTCCATCCTCACCTCCTCCATCACCGTGTGGTTCGCTGGAGCCACAGTCAGGAACAAACAGAGACTACAGCGCATTGGGCGCTCTTTAGAGGAAGTGTAAATTTAAATGTATTCCTTAGAAGTGTTTCTTATTCTTTATTTTATGTGTGACATTTATCAACATGTGTGACATTTATCAACATGTATGACATTTATCAACATGTATGACATTTATCAACATGTATGACATTTATCAACATGTGTGACATTTATCAACATGTATTACATTTATCAACATGTATTACATTTATCAACATGTGTGACATTTATCAACATGTATGACATTTATCACATGTGTGACATTTATCACATGTGTGACATTTATCAACATGTGTGACATTTATCACATGTGTGACCTTTATCAACATGTATGACATTAATCAACATGTATGACATTAATCAACATGTGTGACATTTATCAACATGTATGACATTTATCAACATGTATGACATTAATCAACATGTGTGACATTTATCAACATGTGTGACATTTATCACATGTGTGACATTTATCAACATGTGTGACATTTATCACATGTGTGACATTTATCAACATGTGTGACCTTTATCAACATGTATGACATTAATCAACATGTATGACATTAATCAACATGTGTGACATTTATCAACATGTATGACATTTATCAACATGTATGACATTAATCAACATGTGTGACATTTATCAACATGTGTGACATTTATCAACATGTATTACATTTATCAACATGTATTACATTTATCAACATGTGTGACATTTATCAACATGTATGACATTTATCACATGTGTGACATTTATCAACATGTGTGACATTTATCAACATGTATGACATTTATCAACATGTATGACATTTATCAACATGTATGACATTTATCAACATGTGTGATATTTATCAACATGTATTACATTTATCAACATGTATTACATTTATCAACATGTGTGACATTTATCAACATGTATGACATTTATCACATGTGTGACATTTATCACATGTGTGACATTTATCAACATGTGTGACATTTATCACATGTGTGACATTTATCAACATGTGTGACCTTTATCAACATGTATGACATTAATCAACATGTATGACATTAATCAACATGTGTGACATTTATCAACATGTATGACATTTATCAACATGTATGACATTTATCAACATGTGTGACATTTATCAACATGTGTGACATTTATCAACATGTATGACATTTATCAACATGTGTGACATTTATCAATATGTGTGACATTTATCAACATGTTTTCTATGTTCTTTTGTGTTTTAACTATTGATTCTCTGATCTGTGTTGGTGATTTCAATGGTTTTGTTCAGTCTCTGATGAAGCTTTTGTGATTTAGGGCTATGCAAGAATAAATTGTATTGTATTGATCATATTTAAAATTTAAGATAGAAGTGATTGTTTTTTTTATGAATTTCTGTTAAAACCTCCATCACAGAATGTGAACAAAGACATTGTTCAGACTCAGGATAATTGGGAGAAAAACAGAGACAGAAATGTAGACCTGAGGTACCAGCCTCTGGATTAGACCAGGACAAAGATCGCCTTGTTCTGGGGTTAAATCCCTCCTGATCCCGACATGTTCCCTCCTCCATCCAATCACAATATCATAATAATCTTGATAATTATGATAATGATGATAATAATAACAACAACAATTATTATTATTATTATCATTATTAATAGTAATAATGATAATAATAACAATGATAATAATAATAATGATAATGATAATAATAATAACTACATAAATGATAATAACGATAGATTTTGAAAAGTAAATGTCACATATGTTCATTTGCTTTCACTGATGTTTTTAAACAAGAGGCAAGAGCTCTGGTGTGTGGTTTTACTGCAAATGGCAAATAAATGAATCTGAATCTTAAACTGATGTTTTAACCTGATGTTTTAACTTGATGTTTTAACCTGATGTTTTAACCTGATGTATTAAACTGATGTATTAAACTGATGTTTTAAACTGATGTTTTAACCTGATGTTTAAACCTGATGTTTTAACCTGATGTTTTAAACTGATGTTTTAAACTGATGTTTTAACCTGATGTTTTAACCTGATGTTTTAAAACATCAGTTTAAAATATGTGAATCTAAATCTCCCTGTTGTCCCTTTATTATAAGTATTCATTATAATATTTATTATAAGTATTTATTATAAGTATTTATTATAATATTTATTATAAGTATTTATTATAATATTTATCATCATATTTATTATAATATTTATTATAATATTTATTATAAGTTACAGTTGATTCCAAAGTCCCGGGCTGTATACTATATATTTTTGGAGATAAGATAAAATAACCAAGAGTAGAGAGATGTGCCCGTGCCCGTGCACGTGCACGTGGACCTCCGACAGCCTTAGTCTGGTTTAGGGAGGTCCGGGAGGTCCGGGAGATCCGTCTCATGTTTTATTATTTGGTTCTGGTAAAACACCGATTTACATCATCACGCACTGCTCTCCATCATTACGCACTGCTCTTCATGTGGAACAGAGAAATGCTTTTAAAGCCTCTTGTTGCTTCTTGACGTGGACAGAACAGGGACCTGATCCTCCAGCGGCAGGACCAGAGTCCAAAGCCTTCTCTGGTTAATGAATCGGATTTCTTATAGTTTCAAATCCACACACGCGCTCACCATAGGCCCAAAAGCCCAAACTGTATAAAGGGTTTATCTGTAAAGCCACAAGGAGACACGCAGCGCCGCGGGGAGACCGCTGCCTTAACAATCTAACCCACAACCAATGCGCTTTCTCCTGCTGAGGTGTGCGCAAGCAGGCCCGGAGAGGAGGAGGCCCGGGGCTTGGAGAGGAGGAGGCCCGGGGCCTGGAGAGGAGGAGGCCCCAAGGCCCGGAGAGGAGGAGGCCCGGGGTGTGGAGAAGAGGCCTGAAGAGGAGGCCCGGGGCCTGGAGAGGAGGAGGCCTGCTGTCATGGATTCCACTGAGAGGGTAGGTCTTATGGCGCGCGCTGTATATTTCATAAATCTATTACACTATTATCACTGTTGCACTGTCACATGTGTCTCTGAAGACCCAAACCCAGACACAGACCCAGACCTGCGAAAAAACGGCGTCGGAACTTTTGTGCACGCGCAAAGTCCACTTCCTTTTTCTGTCTCAGCTTCTGTCGTCACTTACTTTGGGGTGACTGCAGTTGAGTCAATTTTGGCAACTTCATTTTAATAATGAGTTTGTGGAAGTCTGAGAATATACATGATACAGTAAAATGTAGTTTTAAAAAGGCAGAACATCTGTCCACAAATGTTAATAAAACAAGGCTCTTTCTGTTGGCACCACAGACTGTACAAAACAAGTTACACCTTTAATGATAACACTTTTTTAAGTGTCCAAAGCGTGTTTTTACTTGTGGGGACCACATATAAACATAAAAACATATTAACAGTGGGGACCACATGGTAAAATGCTGGAGCTGAGAGAGTTCAGTGCATTGATAAATATTACAGTATAATTCTATTAAATTTATTTGAATGTATTTTTGGCCCTAAATCACAGCAGTTGTTTTCTTTGAGGACTTTACAAAACTGTTGATTTGCCAACACAGATCAGAGAATCAAAATGCAACAATAACAAACACACAGAGACATCGGTCCATAAATGTAGATAAAGTCCGTAAATGTGGTTGAAAATGAGTGAAACTACAAGCTTTTGTCACCAAGAAAGAAAGAAGTGTTATTTTACGTGACTGTGGTGATGCATGTGTCATTATCTATTCCTGTATTTGTTGATGAAGTGATTTCAGTATTTCTGTTGAAAAGAACGGAGACACAAACACATCAACATTAAAAACTCACGTCCTTCATTGTGCTTGTGTTTTTGTTGTGTTGTTTTTTTGCCTGGATCCAGTTTGTCTGGAGCCGTAGAGAAGCACACTAGGACCCAGGGCCGAAGCAAATTGAGGACAGCAGCACATAAGAAGCTTAAGGCATTTAATCTCACAAATAAGTACACACAAACTACACACAGCGTTTCATAAACATCCCATTGGAAAACACGCATGCACACATTGTATTTTCATTTAGTTTTCATTTGGTCCAAACTCTATTATTCCCCATTGTCGACCTTCCACCGTCTTCACAGCAAAACAAGGACCGTCTGTTGTTGCAGCCGCTTTCATCAGAAAACAATCAGGACGTTTTAGAAAGACCATAAAACTAATAAAACAAATCAAACAAATCAAACAAGTAAAACAAGTAAAACAAAGGGAGGCCGATGTAGAGGGCTCGCTGCTTTGCTTTAAAGGCCAGGCCAATGTTGGAGAAAATTGTATTTTCTGCTGACAAGGATCAATGTAGAATGTCATAAAAGCTGATAAAAGGCGTGTGTTTTGTCGCGCTGAATTTTGTCAGTCCCAAGCCAAGATATAAGTTACAGTTCAAGGTCTTTAGACCGTTCTGTAGATTTCTTCCAGCTCTGCAGCCAGAAGATGTTCAGCGACATCAGTAGTTCTTACACTATAAATTTTAGATTTCATATAGGAACGTTCTGAGAATCTAAAAGCTCAAATACTGAGCTTTTGTCAGAGGTCGTACGGGACAGGATTTGGACTAAACCATTCATACCAGACAAAATCACTGTGACATAAACTGGAAACGAGGATTTCTGGAATAATAACCAGATTGTGTTTGTGTCAATGATTTTTCCAGACAACATGTTTGAAATCCAGTGGGAAACGTCCCTAAACCCCAAAAGTTTTATGGTGTTTTCAAATAGGAATGGAACAGCCGCCCTTAACCTGAAAAAATACAACATCAATATTTTTGAGCCGATAGAAACAAAACCAATGGGATGTGATCAAAGACGTTCTGCTTAAAGCTTTAATGTCATATATCAGTTATGGAGCTAAATGTCAGTGTTAAATTGTAGAATAAATCAACATTGTCACTGTTACTCACAGCAAAAGGTGACATTAGAGTATAGTTTAGTCAACTGGACAATCCAGTCCATTTAAGTCCAGTTTATTTATGTAGGTTCAGATCAAGGTTCAGTAGTCGTCAATTGCAGTGAAACCCTATTGGAATAAAACTTTCATTTGGTACTCAATAAATTAGTTTTTTCCCCCTCTTCTATTAACAACATGTGTTTTCTCTTTGAAGCATGTTTGTTTTTGTCTTGAACCTGTTGAAAAATGTTTTGGGGAACACTGTGTTAGGTCTTGGTTCAACAGTTTATGCATCATTTTAAAATGTTTTCATAAACATTGAACCAGTCCGGCCTCGGCTTGTGACAGATTTGTTTTTTTGGCCCTCTGATGTATTTGACTTTGACATCCCTGCTTTTTAGTGTATTACAGATGTATACATACAAATATATTTCTTGCCCTATACTTTGTTTCTTTATGAGCAAAAGATGGAGATTGTTGAGCTTTACTTAAGATACACTTGAAATGAAATGTCCCCACTGTTGTACAAATAAAGGATGTCTATAAAAAGGGTTAGGGTAAGTTACTAACGGCAACACAATCACACTCTCCCTCCATTTGAACCACACATTTGCAGTTTGTTAAGCAGCTCTGGCATCACGTTCCATTCACACTGTATTTTGTCTATCTCTGCTACACACTGTTGTGCTCATTGGGCTCTGTGTGTGTTTGTGCGGCCCACCACATACACACACACACGCACGCATGCGCACACACACACACACACACGCAAGTGCGCGCGACGCATCGAGTTCAGCCGATTTATCATAATATGCTTTATCTGAAAAGTAAGTATCTTACCTCGGGATAAAGGGAGGAAAGAGGGGTTTGTGGCCAGACTGACGGAGGAACAGTGAGAATGTGGAGCGGTGTGCGGCAGGCATTTGGACCTTTGATTTGGGCTGGATTCACTGGCATCGACAAGGTAACTTGGCTTTGTGCATAGATCGGTCATGGGGAGAGGCTTAAGGACTGAGTCTGTGTTTGGGGCCGGTCAGAACGGGACGGCTTGGAGACAAGAGAAAGAAAGAACATTGTCTCAGTGGGAACTGTCAGAACTGTGGAAAGGAGTTGTATGGAGGAAACTGGGAGGAAAGTACTGAAAAAAGGGGGTGGTCTGCAGTACGGTATAGAGGTGTGCAAGACGGAGAGAGAGACAGATGGGTGAGGGGGTGAGGGGTGGGAGGGGCTGTGGGAGGCGACCGCCGGGCGACTTCTCAGGGTCGTGCCTAATGCTTTTTACCACTAACTATGAATTGACATATTTAGCGTTTGCAAATCTATGGCCTAATATTGGTGGACCTTATGCTGCGAATGCAGGCCATGTTTGTGGCTTTACAGTCGTCCTGCATCATGGAAATATGTTTATGTGAAATATGTTTGTGTTTGAAATATGTTAAAGTAAGTAAGTAATGTGTATTTATATAGCGCATTTTACAGACCAAGGTCACCCAAAGCACTTTACAAAGTTCAGAGTTCAGATGTTGTTCCAATCATTCCACACACGGTGATGACAGAAGCGAGTCCAGAACACACTGGACCATCAGCCCCCAATCAACACCATCCATTCACTCTCTCATTTACATTCATACCTATTGTACATGTTTTTAGTGGTAGGGAAAACTGGAGCACCCGGAGGAAACCTACGCAGACACGGGGAGAACATGCATGCGTGAAATATGTTTGTGTGAAATATTTTTATGTTTGAATTATGTTTATGAAGGTTGGTATTGAAGGTATTTGTCTGTTGTGTAAGGACGTAGCGAGCTGTGCGAAACACAAATTGATTATTCATATATAATGGTGTTTGTTAGAAGTGGTTTTCTGACTCAGATACTTCTTTAATGACTGCAGAATGAAATTAAAATGTTTTTAAATATGTTACAAAACATCTCAAGATGATAATGGAAAATAGGTGGAAATGAGCCGTAACTTGGAACGAAGCATCTTTGCCTTCGAGGTTAAACAGTTGTTTACGCTCAGTAACCTGTGTACAGGTCCACAGCGACTAAACTAGACTGGTCCAAAAACATACACTCCCCTCAGACAGCACCTGGAACCAAGAAGACCAAGAACCACTTTTGGATCAAGAACCAATTTTGGATCAAGAGCCACTTTTGGACCAAGAACCACTGTTGGACCAAGAACCACTTTTGGACCAAGAGCCACTTTTGGACCAAGAGCCACTTTTGGACCAAGAACCACTTTTGGAACAAGAACCACTTTTGGACCAAGAACCACTGTTGGACCAAGAGCCACTTTTGGACCAAGAGCCACTTTTGGACCAAGAGCCACTTTTGGACCAAGAACCACTTTTGGACCAAGAGCCACTTTTGGAACAAGAGCCACTTTTGGACCAAGAACCACTTTTGGACCAAGAGCCACTTTTGGACCAAGAACCACTTTTGGACCAAGAACCACTTTTGGAGCGAAAGAAGACGCTATAAAAAAGCAGAGACTAATTCTTATTCTGGGTACACCCCCACAGGCCCGGGGTGGTATTGCAGCATGTCAGCGCATGTGGTCATGGACCTTTTAGAGCCGGGGCCCGGCTCATTCCGCACAGAATCAAACTCACGAAATGCAATTGTGGGGTTGGCTGGTGCGCTGCCCGGTAGTGGGGGGTGGCCAGGGGGGGGGGGGGGGGGGGCATCTGTCGTTTGCGTCATTATTGAGGTCGCCCTGTGTTTAACTCTTATTAAATTGATGTGAGGATTACGCTGCGTGAGACCAGCTCTGACCATGTGTCTGTGTGTGTGTGTGTGTGTGTGTGTGTGTGTGTGTGTGTCTGTGTGTGCATTGTATGTGTGTACTCTGTGCAGAGTTTGCAAGTTCTCCCTCATGTTTGCTGCGGTTTCCTCCAGGTGCTCCAGTTTCCCCTACCACTAAACATGTACAATAGGTAAAAGCCTGGCATTACAGGATGGGTCAAATGCAGAGGACACATTTCCATAAGGCGGCCATGAAGTATAAATGAATTTAAATTAACATATGTTATTAGATTGTTTATTAGATTAGATTAGATTAGCATGGCGCCGGAGATATCTGTAAATATCTGAAAAAGTGCAAAAGGTGGAAGTGTGAAAAGTAATAGCAATAATGACACGGTGAATGTATAATTTGTAGAATTTGGTGAAAGCGTTGAAGAGTTGAAAAGTGCCAAAATCTGGCAGAAGCTGTAAGAAGAAGAAGAAAGAAAGAGCACATAGTCTATGCAGCCACTCAATCAAATATTTACACATTTCTTGTTTGAGTCTTGTCTCGTGTCTAAGTGCTTATGTTTGGAAGATGTTTCAATTATTATAAATCCTGATGATTATGGAATAATTCAGTTTTATTGAACAGTTCATAAATAAATCACTACAGCCTTAAATCCCTCCAACTCCAGACGTGGCTTATCTAGAATCCTCAGAAAACCCCAAAAAACCACAGACCAAGAAAAGTCACTGATGCATGTTTCACTGTGAAATTAGCCCAATATGGATTTGAGATTACGCAGATTACGGAGGTGACGGAGGGGACATACAGTAAGAGACGGAGGAGACGGAGGTCAGGGATGTGATGGAGGTGACGGATGTGTCTTGGACTTTGCAGATTGTCTGTGGTTCTAGCCCCTGGTGACGGGACAGGGACGCCCTCTGAGCCCGTCTCTGTTTGTGGTCGGCTGCTGTGAGGACATGTGGGTCCAGGTTAATCCTCCAGGGGGGGTCTCTGTGGTCGGACCCCCTCAGCGTGTGGCTTAACTTCCACCTGTTCAGCCTCATTCTCTTTGAAATCATGGTGTAGTTTTATTGATTCGTTTTAAGGTTTTGTGGAAATGTAGGGTATAAAAAAATCAAATTATTGGTGCCTACTCTTTAATGCAAGTTAAACTTAAGAATAATATTCTTATTGATTATTAAGAGATCCTCTTTTCGTCCCACAGTGGGAACATTTTAGTGCTGCATCATTACAGAACCGTAGGAATGAGGAGCACACAGCACAAGATAAATGATCAATGCCTCTATAATTAAGCAAAATAAAATCTCATACAATAAAGAAGCAGGTCTGACATTGGTGAGAGCTGATTGGCCAAGTGAGGGCTGGTCCAAAGATGTGACCGAGGACAAATAAATTAAAACTAGTGAGGAACAGGTTTGAGAGCAAGGACTTAGCGCCTGAAGCACCTTTACTGTAAGTGTCTGAAAAAGCACTGAATAAAACTAATGCATTCATCCTCAAAATGTATGACGGACTCATGGTCCAGGAAACGACAAACACAAAACAGCTCATACAGTCACACTGCCCAACCCTAACCCTAACACACTGCCCAACCCAAACCCTAAACACACTGCCCAACCCTAACACACTGCCCAACCCTAGCACACTGCCTAACCCAAACCCTAACACACTGCCCAACCCTAACCCTAACACACTGCCCAACCCTAACACACTGCCTAACCCAAACCCTAACACACTGCCAACCCTAACCCTAACACGCTGCCCAAGCCTAACACACTGCCCTACCCTAGCCCTCCTCAGAGCAAACAGAGCATATTATTGCTTAGTTATAATGACTTTCTGAATTGCTGTTTTTGTGGTTTTATGATGAGCTTTAATAAATATAAGATAAGATAAAACTTGATCTCACAATAGTAAAATGTACATGTCACATTTGGCATTAACAGCATCACTCCGGCTGTGCAAAAAGACAGAAAATGTGCAAAACAAAAGATCCAACCATCCATTATCTTTCCCTTAATCCAATTCTGGGTTGGGGGGGTGGCAGTCAGAGCTGCCCCCAGTACACAGAGCACCAGCCCCTGACTGATCCTCCTGCAGGTGCTGAGTCCACAGGTGCTGAGATCTTTTAGTGGGGGCTTCAGGCAAAGTGGGGTTAAGTGTCTTGCCCAAGGACACAACGACAGCAGTCGTAGGCCTTATGGTGGGCTCGAACCCACGACCTTCAGGCCCAAAGGCCAATGCTCTACCAACTGAGCCACTGTCGCCATAAAAACATGTTATATAGTAAAATAAAACCGCACTGTATAAATATATAAATAAATGTTCCTGAAGCTTCGTTTTTCGGCGTCTGGTGACAGTATTTAACTCCTTCTTGCCTCAGTGCATCGTTTAGGGGCCCATTATCCGGGTCAGTCCTGCAGGGAGCGGGTGGCATGTCGTGTGGTGGGTGGTGGTGCACGTACACTCGCACCAGTCCCCCACCCCCGTCACCATAACCCCCCCGCCCCGTCCCGTCCCGTCCTGTGTCCCATATGGCGCAGGACAGCAGTAGTAATCATTGGAAGTGGAGCAACAGGCCTGAGCTCCTCTAATCCGCGGCTGCACTCCGACACGTGCCACTCTGATAGACCGGGCCCCCCACGCTGTACCTTCTGCCCCCCCACCATCCCCGAGGCCAGCACACGGCGAGCCACTGAGACAAGAGTGTAATTATGTGAATAATGACTCACTTTGAACTCAAAGTCATAAATTATGTAAATTATGCTAAATCCAATGTTCTGTTGTTTTGAAAGATTTTCTATTGTGTTTATTGACCTAATTTCTCTTCCATTACTTGTTGTATGCAGCTTTTGTAAGGAGGGGACTTCTATGAGTTAGTTAAATTATCTGTATCTTGCAGGCAAGGCAAGTATATTTGTATTGCACAATTCATGCACAAGGAAAACTAAACAAGGCGTTAATATCGTAAATAATCACAATGCATTCAAAAGAATAAAGATCAAGTCCTTCAGTTGTATCCACAGCCACAGAGGAAGCCTGTCTCACATGTTCAGGAAGACTGTCCCAGATATATGTGCACATTTCTGCTTGTTTAAGCATGATCTCAGAAGCTAAGCAGTGGAGGGTCTCTTTGTGACTGTGATGGGAGACCACTGGGAACAGGTGCCACAGAGAGAAGTACTGTTGTCTTCTCTCTGTTTGAATGAAGAGTTACTTATTAATATATTACTTATAATACTTTGACACGTATATATGTACTCATAGTACTTATAATACTTTGATATACAGTATATGTTCTCATGGTCTCTCCTCCTCTTTATCTAATCATGTTTGTTTCAAGAAATTGGTTTAATGCATAAATATCTCCTCAAACATTTCCATAAAGTTATGCTGGAAGTTCACATTTATGGGAAGAAACACACAGGGCCCATTTTTGACTCTTTTCTTGCATTAAATAAAATAATGTATTTCTTAAAGGAATAGTTCACCGTTTTTACATACTGACATACTGTATGTTCTTACCTTACCTTAGACTAGTTAATATGTACCCGTCTGGTCTTAGTCCGTGCGCTCTGTCATGCAAACGGAGCAAAAACGGGAGCACAAACGCAGCCTCCTCTGTATACTGTATAGTACCCAAAAGGTAACTCCCGCTAGAAGCTACCAAACTCTTCCAAGTGTTCCCTATTAAATGTATATAGTTACGTGACGTGTTACACTGCAAAGTATAGTAACACAGAAATGTAACTGTCGATTTTCTCAGCGGAGAACGCTGAGAAAACGGGTACTATATTGTGACGCGTAGTAATCTGAGGAGCGCTACGTCCGCGCACTAACTTCTCTCCGGAGACTTCTCTCTCGCTCACTTCCGTCAATAGAAGCAGCGTGACTTGTAGTACGGAGAGAAGTTAGTGCGCGGACGTAGCGCTCCTCAGATTACTACGCCTCACAATATAGTACCCGTCCGCTGAGAAAATCGACAGTTACATTTCTGTGTTACTATACTTTGCAGTGTAACACGTCACGTAACTATATACATTTAATAGGGAACACTTGGAAGAGTTTGGTAGCTTCTAGCGGGAGCTACCTTTTGGGTACTATACAGTATACAGAGGAGGCTGCGTTTGTGCTCCCGTTTTTGCTCCGTTTGCATGACAGAGCGCACGGACTAAGACCAGACAGGTACATATTAACTTGTCTAAGGTAAGGTAAGAACATATGTCAGTATGTAAAAACGGTGAACTATTCCTTTAAGCTTTCGTGATCTGAGTTAAAAGTTGCAAAACAGAAATATGCAATCCAACTATTGTTTTAATCGCATCGCCCACACAAGAGCCCCTGCACCTTGCCCAAACCCTTTAAGTGTGACGCAGTCGGAGCCAGTGCTACAATGCCTCTCTCTTTGTTAATTGCCCCTTTAATCCTGAGGAATGCCAGCGATTAGTCCTCTCTGGTGGGTTAGGATCTTACTCAACACCGGCTTCACAAAGGAGCGCTGTAACGGAGATCTGAACCCACACACTCACAAACATGTAGCTCACTAATTAGCCAGTCACAATGGGCCTGCTCCAGTCCCATGCGTTTCTGTGGTCTCACTGTGGCCTCACTGTGGCCTTGCTGTGGTCTCACTGAGGTCTCGCTGTGGTCTCACTGAGGTCTTGCTGTGGTCTCACTGAGGTCTTGCTGTGGATTCACTGTAGTCTCGCTGTAGTCTTGCTGTGGCCTCGCTGTGGTCTCACTGTGGCCTTGCTGTGGTCTCACTGTGGTCTCACCATGGTCTCACTGTGGCCTCACTGTGGCCTCACTGTGGTCTCACTGTGGCCTCGCTGTGGCCTCGCTGTGGCCTCGCTGAGGTCTCACTGTGGCCTCGCTGTGGTCTCGCTGTGGCCTCGCTGAGGTCTCACTGTGGCCTTGCTGTGGCCTTGCTGTGGCCTCACTGTGGCCTCACTGAGGTCTTGCTGTGGTCTCACTGCGTCTCTCAGTTACACCTGTGTCTGGCTCGTGAAATGGTGAATTAAAAAGATTCAGTTCAGTTTTTTGTGTAAAGTCTTGATCCACAACAGCAGTCATCTTTGAGGACTTGGCAAAATTGTCAATTTGCCAACAACAGATCAGAGAATCAAAGAGTTAGAACACAGGAAAGGCAAAAATAACAAACACATGGTCCGGAGGAGAGCAGGGGAAGATGTGGGGAAATGTCAGCGTTACATCACCGGTTACAGGACAATAGGAATGAGGAGCAAGCTTTAGCATAATGAGGAAGCAACAATTACAGATAAGAATATGTAAGTATAAAGTCTCTTTCACATTATGTTCATAAATGTCCATCATGACTCATCATTACCAAAGTCTTTGGACAATAATGATCAGTCTTTGATGTTCATGATGAATATGAGGTAAAAAGTCAGTACATTTAATTTATTTTAGTATCGTCCTAAATCACAACAGCTGTCGTCTGAGAGGACGCTACACATTTGTCGATTCACCAACACAGATCAGAGAATCAAACAGTTAAGATACAGGGAATGCCATTGGTCCATAATATGTCCACACAAACTAATGATGTCCATTCATGTAGATGAAAGTCCAGATCATCAGCACCGTCCTTAGACCCTAGGCTTAGGGATCTAACCCTAACCGTAGGGTCTAACCACTGCATCGGCAAGGAACAAAAACAACCCAGTGGGCTGAAACCTGGACGAGACATCGTCTTAAACAATGGTAGGAATTAAAATATACTGCGCTCTCTACTGCCCCAACCCAGGGTCAGGGTCTGGGTCAGGGTCAAGTTCAGAGTCAGAGTCAGGGTCAGGATCCTGGTTCTAGTCAGGACTAATGTGATCATACTTCCTGGTTCTAGTCAGGACTAATGTGGCCGTTTTTAGGTGGTAAAAAGCTGCTGATGTTACTGATTTTAAGTGGCTATTAAAATTTAAGTCTGAGTCCAGTATTACCCCTAGATTTCTGACTTGGTTTGAAGGTTTTAGGGAGAGAGACTGTAGGTGACAGATGACGCTCTCTCTTTGTTTCTGGGGACCATAAACAATAATTTCAG